ACCAACCAACCAACCAACCAACCAACCATGTTACGCTACAGTCAATTCAAATAGTGACTCTCAGCTGCCTTGCACTCTCCTCTTAAGGTGGGGTGGGGAGATGTCAGCAGTGTGTTTCACCCCAGCAACTTCCTGAAGATGATGTGTGCTCACTTTCGGAAACCTTTTGCTATAATTCCTTATTTGAAGGGTACCTCCCCCCCCATCCCGCATCACCCTCAAAAGAGGGCATAAGCTTGCATAACATTTGTAGATTCCAGTTTACCAATTATTGCTGTGATTTAAAAAGAGCTGCAGTCTATCTCAACATAGTGGGGGAAACTGCGAAAGTGTGTCCCGTGTGCCTGCTCAGTCTGTTGCTCAGGAGTTAACTGTTGATGGAAAATTTCAAGGCCCTCTCTCCTCACTGTTCTCTATCTTTAAATGGAACTTGGACTGAAAAGCCCTTCAAATTGAAGGCTCTACTCTGTTAAGAATGACCCATTTGCACTTGAGCACTGTGCTAGCTTAAAATAGTGGCTTCACTTAAGAAGGAAATTTCTTCCATATGTGGCGGACATGCCCTAAAATTAAAAAGGGATACTATTTATGAAGAATTAAAGAAAATGTTAAGACATACTCCCCCCCCCAAAAACCCCAGAAATGTTTTTATTGGGCCTATTAACAACAGACATCCCAAAAGAGATGAAAGGAATATTTTTGTATGCAGTAACGGTGGCCAGGATAGTAATTGCTAAACAATGGAAAAGTAACATAACACCAAAAAAGAAGAATGGGTCCTTAAATTGTCAGAATATCTTGAACTGGCCAAAGTCACAGGTTTAATAAGAAATTATTTCAATGAGAAAATAAGGAGAGAGTGGGAAATCTTTATAAATTATTATAAACCGATTCCCAGATCCATACTTGGTTTAGCTTAGAATAAAAACCTCACAGGTTATTAGAATGTTTTTCCAAAATTTAACCATTACAGACAACCAGTGATATGAGAAATAAAGATCCACATGGAGTTAGTTGGAAGTCATTTTTTCTTTTTTCTTTTTATCTTTATTTCTCATTTTTTAAGGAGAATATAATGCTCATATTTTTTATTGTAGTCTATGTAATTATTTTGTATCCTTGTATTTTTGCTTTTGTATTTTTCTTTTCTGTTTCGCTATTATTGGTTCACTTTATTTAAATTTTGTTTGTGTTATGCATAAGTGTAAATAAAAATTTATTAAAAAAATTAAAAAATAGTGGCTCCAAAGTGTCTGGTGCTGGCGGTTTAAGGGGGAGGGAAGAGGGTGCTATCAATGGGTTCTGCCAGGCACTTGGCAGCTGCCTGAAAATGGTGGGTTGAAGCCAACTGAGTGAGTGCACGACTTCCACTCATGCAACTTTGGCTCATGCAATGCCTTCTGTTCATGCAACAGAACTTACTCTACCTCTCCTCTTTTATGTGCCCTCCTAGTCCCTCCAGTTCTGCTCTGGAGGGTTGGGAGCCCCCTAAACAAATTGTGTGTGTGTGTGTGTGTGTTTGTAGGAGTTAGGGGGTGTTCTGTTTCATATTTCCTGGGAGGCTGGCTATATATATGAATGAGTTGAAAGGAACTAGTTTCACAGTTCTTTGGATCCCGGGCATAATGCCTTGTGCAGAGTGTGACAGCCACATTGAGGACAAGAAGGTTAGTGAAAAAGGAGCAGCAGCGTTGTGAGTTAGAATACAACTAAACAAAGCTTGTTCAATAAAAGTTGGAGGTGTTGGTAAATTCTGCATGCCACAACAAAGTAAATCATTTCCCTTATGCGTGTTTAAAAATATTGTTTCAGTTGGGACAAGATTAGAAAGGAAAATATTGCATTTATTTGTCAACTTCTGCTGTCAAAAATCCTGGGATCTTAGAATGAGTTCCTCTGAACATGTGCCAAGAGCCTTTCCTCCAGAGAAAGGGAACAAATGTTGTTGTTGTTTTGATTTTGTGTGTGTGTATGCACACAATATGTCTGCCATGTGATGACTGCTTTAAATCACTCCCCCCACAACAGCTGTCTCCTTCCAGTGCGCTTTTGACTCGCATCCGTTCAATGTGTGGCTGAAGCAATTTCCCCTTGATGCTACAGACCTCCTTTTTTGGTTAGATCTGCACGACAAAGGGCCATCATCCTCATGGGAAGCCCATGCATGCAAACAGTCCACTGTGTGGAGAGAACCATTGCAAGTTGTGCTTTAAAGTGCACTGATATTTGCAACTGAATTCTGGGCAGTCCTATCGATTCAGCGAGAAAACTCCAGAATGCTTGTTGTCTGTTGAAGCTTGTCTCTCCCCATAAGAAAGAGAACTTGGATGGCTTTAAAGGAGGATTAGAAAATCCACGGTCAATAAGGCTATACTTGCTATGATGGCTATGTCCTACCTCCACCACTGGGGGCAGTATCCCTCTGCATGCCAGATGCTGGGAATCACATGAGGGCTGTTGCACTCAGGCACTGCTTGTGGGCTTCCCATGGACATCTGGCTGTCCACTATAAAGACAGGATGCTGGACTAGGTCGGCTCTTCTTTGGTTCTGAACTGGGGACTCCTTTTAGTTGTGCCTTTCCTGTAAGGCGATATCAGTGGGTGCTAACTGGTTCTCCCTTCTATAATGAGAACAGAATTAAGGCAATATCATTCCTTACCCATCATGGTTCCTGCTACACTGGCATCCAGTCCCATACAGACTCTCCTCCCTGAAAGAGAGGGGAGTGGTTGTGGGCGGGAGCCCGAACACCGCTCCTAGCAGGGGGCGTTGCCCCCTGCCTCCAGCTCACCTGGCTGGCACTCACGCCCCCCCTGGTGGCCGCCCAACCAGGTGCCATGGGGGGGCGTGTCCAGCAGCCTTTATGCTGCAGTGCCAGCCTCTCCCCGGCCTCATTTCTCTTTGTCGTCCTGTGCGAGTCACCCACCCTCCACTCCCTTTGAGTTAGGGCTTAGGTCATTGGCCTTGCTATGGACCTTAGGTTGGTCGCCCCGGTTGCCCGGGGGGCCTGGTAGGAGTTTTTCCATTTGGCATTAGGCTTTTTGGTTTTTTCGCCTACCTCGTAGCAATCGTCACAACTTTTTGGTGGTATTGGTGGGTAGGTTAGGCATTGGAATAATGTGTTGTGGTGTGTCGAAGTGCTAGGTGTGGCCATCGCCTATGCCTTCAATTTCTAGGGGTATTCCGTTAAAGGAATCTGGCGGTCGTGTATTCCGTCCGAAGCCTGCTTGGCGGGAGGCCATGGCACGACCCTCGGTGACATCAGGGGTGAGCCTATAGTTGGATTAGCATCAACAGGTGATGAACCCCTGGTGAATAAACCCACTTGTTTCGCGATCCAATGCCTAAGCCAATACCTTTTCATTGCTGTAATCAATAAAGTTGTGGCCTTTTCTAGCCCATTAACCTTATATCACGTGTCCCTGTGTCTTCATTTTACTTCGCGGGGGTCAGGTCCTCGAACCACAAATAAAAGTTCTCTTCAGGAGTTTTTCTGAATATCAAGAGGGTGAAAAACATACATGGAGATTGAGTTCTGCCAACTATGGTCTTGTAGTCCAATCTTTCTCAGTGAATAGAATCCATTTTTCACACCATTCCTGGTGTATATGATCTACAGAAAAGTCACTGGGAATCTTTGGAGGAACAGTTTTAGGGGTAACTATAAAATGCAAATAAGATTTTCATGATGAAATATTTTAAAAACAACCATGACAATATTTACTTTCTCCCCCTTCTTCCCAAATGACTGGTTTTGCTTATATGCTGCTGGCAGATGGGATGTGGATCATTTTAATTAGATTTTATTGGACTGTTATATGGCCCATAATTGTGATCATTACTCATTTTCACTCTGATTCAGGCAGTGCCTCTGCTTAGACATGATGGCATTTTGATGAGACAAACCCCGTGTCACTTGTTGTCAAAGCAATGGAAAGAGATGTTTTTCAAGGTAAAGTTGGACTAGATTAATGAAGGATATAGGTTACCATTTTAATTTTCAGTTGTGTCCAAATTGTACATATAATAAACAAAGCACCTGTGGTCCTGGGCCATCATCATGTCATAGAGGGGGGAAATAACAGAAGGATATTGTTCACCCGTTTCTAGAAGCCAGACAATTAACTCTTGGGAAAGGGGGCTTGAATTTGCCAACCCCTGGTCTAGAGTATTGGCTATTTTTGATCATCCAAATGTTGTTGGAATCTGATCAGCCCCATCTAGCATGGCCAATAGGCTGGGATGATGGGAGATGAAGTCTATCAACTTCATCAACTTCCAGAGTACCCAGCCTTGGTCTAGAGTACTGGCTATTTGTGGCCCACACCTCCCACCATCCCAGACTACTGGCCATGTTGCATGGGGTTAATGGGCAATGTAGTCCACAACATCTGGACTCCATAACTGGTTTCACCAGTTCTAGTGCTTTGAGAAGTAGCGAATCCCTCATTTGTATCCCCTTTAACAAAATTAGGTGGCCTTCAAACATCAAACAGACCAGAGAAATCTGAACTCTCTAGTTTGTTCCTCCTTGCTGCCTTCTAATAGTGAATGTTTATTGTAAGTTAAGCAACTTAAATGGTTTAACTTACAATAAATTACACTAAACTAAGGCTTGGGAATTTTACTGGGCAGTCATATTTTGGTTCATCTCTCCATCTCTATATTGGTCCACCTTACTATCTCTGTATCCAACCTTTGATGCTCCATCTGTGAATTGATGACCTATCCTCATTACTTTTTCTACATGCCCTTCCCAAAAGAGTAGAGCACTTTTTCTCTCACTGTTTAATCTTCATAGTTTACAGCCAGAAGATCTGGTGTGTAAATGGGCTGTGAATAATGACTCGCCTTGCTGTAGCTCTGTCTATGACAGCTGGACATCTTGTTTACTTTGTCTGAAGAGATGACCTCCACACTTGCTGGTGCAGGGTGATTTTTCTCTCCGTTTATGCAAAAGAGACTTCGTCTTTTACAACTCTGATGGACTTGTATATAAATAGCTGTGTGTGCAGCAGAATTCAACCCAGAAGCCTTAAGCAAAGTCAGCAGCGGTAGGACTTTTTGAGCCCAAGTTAGAAACCACATGGAGCTTAATCATTAATCACCAGTCTTTAATTAACAGCTCTGAGCTTTGAACAAAAGGCGCTTACCGCAAGGCTGCTGAGGAGCCCTGAACCTCTTTGGTGTGTTTTCATTTGGAGCACCCAGTGGTCTTCAGAAGAGAAGCTGATAGAGCAGCAACCCTTTGTGTCAAGGGTCAAGATAATAAGGAAGAGCAGATGTTTGTGGCCTTTTCTAGCCTGGCAGCAGTTTCAAGCTGACTCAACATGTACAAGCTGCCAGGTCTCCAAAGCAAGAAACCTATTGCAGCAGTGACTCATTGAGAACAGGAATCCAGGCAATGTTTGCTGTTACCAGCTTTGCACAGGTGAGAGTCAAATCAGGTAGAAGGAAAGCTTCTATTGGCCTGGGAAAGTTGGTGTTCAGAGTGAGATTGTTCAAAAGGGAGGGGGAAAGCACTTTGCAAACTGTCCTGAATACTCTTTACAACTTTATGAAATTTTATTTTAATATGAGCTTTCCCTGCCTGGTTATTATATGATGTTGCAGTAAAATGATAGTACAATCACTGCTGTGAATTGGCACAGATTAATAAAGGATGTTTAGTATTAGAAACATATTTTTTTTGGGGGGGGAGTGGAGGATGTTGTTTGCCCCCCTCCTAGTACCATCAAAACTGGTAGTGGATCTTACCTGAAGTCACAACCAAGTAGTAAAAGGGAGTTTGGGGGAGCATGGCTCTGATTTTGGGTAGCTATTATGGTCATGTATACATTAGACCATGGGTAGGCAAACTAAGGCCCGGGGGCCGGATCTGGCCCAATAGCCTTCTAAATCTGGCCTGTGGATGAGTAGAATGTATGCTTTTATTTAAAATGCATCTCTGGGTTATTTGTGGGGCATGGGAATTTGTTCATCCCCCCCCCCCCAATATAGTCCGGCTCCCCACAAGGTCTGAGGGAGAGTGAACCGGCCCCCTGCTGAAAAAAAATTGCTGACCCCTGCTTTAGACCAATGCATCCCCACCCTACTCCAAAAACGTGTAGAGGCAAAGCACTCCAAAAGTATTGCAAAGTTTAAATTTAGAGCAGTTTAGCATTTGACCTATAACCATTTCCTTTTGGTGTCACATTTGATGCCCTGTGGATACCCCAAGCTGTTGCCAGTAAACCTGGCTAAAAGTTCAGATGGGAACTGCATGTATCTTGCCCAGTTAACTGGCCATCACTAGCTTCCAGAATGCATCCTCATTTGCTTGATGCAATGTTTGAGTTACAGAATTGACTGATAGAAGCAACCCAAATATGCAGGGCAACCCTACACAGGTTTACTCAATCCCAGTATATTCAGTGGGGTTTATTTCTGCATTAGCCACTTCACCACTGCAAAAAAAGAAAAAGAAAAAAGAGAGGACGAAAGAAAGGTTATATATTTGTATATTTCCTTATGCTCATCAGATGCAAATTTAGAAATGATTTCTATACTTTAAGCAGAAATAAAATGTGTAACATGATAGTGGGGGAGACACTGACAAGGGCTGGATCTAGACACATCAAAGAAGTCTTTCAGTTAAACGGGTTGCAAACCTTGTATGAGAAATCGGGTAAGCAAAAACAGAACTCCACAGCGCCATCTGGTTTCACAGTGTTATAATGCATAAATGACGTATACAAAGCTTTTTTTCTTTGTCAATGTAGATGTAGCTGAGTCCAAGGTGACCTGTGTGCTTGCTGGCCCCTGGTTTCCAGCTCTTAAAATAGAGGATGCCTTCAAACAGAGAACTGTCCTCCATTAGCTATTCAGATAGAGGGCTGTTTTTTCTTTGATCGTGGGCCACCTGGCTTATTAGGACACTAAGAGTATAATTCCAAACACACTAGAGAGTAAGTAGAGTGCTCTTTACTCCCTAGCAAGTGTGTTTAGAACTCTGGCCTTAATTAAGCACAGTTCTTAATATTTAAAAAGATCAGTGTTGGGGCTTTATGTTGCCTAGAAACTACACCTTGTGTCTTAATAGTTCTTCCTTCTAATCACAAACAAGTGAGTTGATTCTGGTTCACTCATGGTGAGGGAGAAAGCACTCTGCACATGATAGAAGAGCTCCCTTCATTATATTTTAGGACCAGGCTTTGGCAACAAAAACCTGGTTTGGGGCTATGTCTAGACATAGGAATGAGAATTTGTTTTAACCAAAAGTTTTCAAATGGTAAAAAAAAATAATCTGGACAAAAATAAATATCCCATATATTTTCTTGCTTCCCCCCATCTTATTTCTTTTTCTCCATGTCAACACCAAACAAGACAGGACTAAAATTAATGGGGAAAGCAGCAATTAGCAAATTAGGTTAGCGGCGTGTTGCAGTGTGCCATGGCTGCCAGGTGTGAGGGGTTCTGGCAGTATATTTATTAGCGGCTGTCAGAAAAGTGACACTTTGATGAATGGAGCTGGGTAATCAGCACCCTCCGACAGTGAGCACTTCGAGGCCTCAACATGCTAAACTGCAAAATCAAACCTTTTTTTAACCCCCTGCACAAAAATAATAGAAGACCAAACCCCCTACCTACCCACCCCCATTCCTCTATAGGGGAAATATATATTTTCCATCAGGAATTAATGATGTTGATGATAAGAGAGAGAAAGAGAAAAAGAAAGAGAATGAGAGTGAGAGAGAGAGAAATGGAAAAATGCAGTTTTATGTAGAAGAATTTCTGGGGTATGGATGCCCCCCCCCCAAGATAAGTATCACTTTCACATTTTGGGAAGTAGAATACTTAAAAATATGGGCCATGTAGATCTATGGATGGTGGGGGGAAACATCTTGTTCTGGTAAGGTGAATCGAGTCAGTGACTTTGTGTGTGTTGCACCCTAACCCACAAATCAGTTAATTTGAGGTTTCTAAATTAATTAAACTGATTGACTCACACAACAATTTTATCACTTTCTGTATCTGTACTCAGTAAATTAATAAAAAAAAGAAGTACAGGTCTGGAGGCTGCAAAAATAGGCCACGAGAGATGGCTTGTGTATGTACAGTGGTGCCTCGGGTTAAGAAGTTAATTCGTTCTGGAGGTCCGTTCTTAACCTGAAACTGTTCTTAACCTGCAGTACCACTTTAGCTAACGGGGCCTCCCACTGCCACCATGCAGCTGCCACACGATTTCTGTTCTCATCCTGAAGCAAAGTTCTTAACCCGAGGTACTATTTCTGGGTTAGGGGAGTCTGTAACCTGAAGTGTCTGCAACCTGAAGCGTCTGCAACCCGAGGTACCACTGTATGTATGTATGTATGTATGTATGTATGTATGTATGGGCTCAGCAAATCCCATCAGATATGTAGGAGAATTTTGGGTTTAGGGAAGAGGTGGTTAACTTCCTTTCCTCAAGGACTACCTTGAGGGACCACTTCCCTCAAGGGCTGCATGTACACACTCCTGCCACAGATACACATGCACAGCCAAAGTAGGCAGGCAAGCATCCATGCACAACAAAGGGGGACACACTCAGCACACCTAAACGTTAGGAGAAATTCACTTCCTTCCTAACTCCCCTCATCATAGTAGAAACCAGCCTGCACCAGCTATGCATGCTGCAAGTTATGGAAGCAAGAATTTTGGTTTCCCCAAGGGGGTGTGTGAAATTGACCTCCGAACCTGACTCCCTCCTCCTGGATCCATGAAGCTGCAAGAGTTCCACCAGGGAAATAGTCTTCAGGGTTGGGTTAGTGTACCCTTTGGGGAGCAGCAAAAATGAATGGCCAGAAAGAAACCCATCTCTGAAAAGCCTGGAAAGGATAGAGCACTGTGCCAGGTATCTGCTTTGCATCTGTTTTGCGGGCAGAAGATCCCGTTTTCAATCTCCTGCCTTTCTTCGTAGAGTTGGGAGACTCCTGCCTGAAACCCCAGAGAGCTTCTGACAGTCATTGGAAATAATACTGAGCCATATGGTCCAACTATCTTACTCAGTATAAGCACCCGATGTTCCTATGTTCTCAATTTGAAATGTGGAACTTTTCATGCACTAAAACCCACGAGAACACAGAATTACAGAATTGCATGATAATTGTAGAATATAGAACCTGCAGCGCTATTTTTAATAGGGGGGAAAATGGTGGCTATACATGAAGCTGTTGCAGTAAGTTCCATACTTTTAACTTTTTAAGGCAAAGGTGCCAGGACTGTGTACTCTTGAGGATACGCTGAAAAAAGCACCGAGAAGCTGAAAATACAGAATTGCAAGTGGGGACCTGAGACAGTAGGAGATGGAAGTCAGTTTCTGGGACTACATAGATAGTTCACTGGGCAAAGGCTTCAGAAGTGACCCAGCCTTGAGCACTCTCTTATTTCATACCCATCCTAAATAACTTATGCCAGATTTCCAGTCTTGATACTATAAAACTGAACTGTGAGCAGGAGAACTCCCTTGCAGACATGCCCTTGGTGACCCAGAATAAATAAATACAGCAGAGTTAAGCTTGTGTTGCATCAGAACTATTGTTTCAGATGCCAACCTACCTCCTCTCGAGCCCTGCCCAGCCTAGTCGTGACTGGTGCCATCTTCTGAGTAGTAGATCATGACTCTGTCTCACCTCCATGATCTACGATGCCCATACATCCTTAGAGCGAGAGTGCACTCTGGTGATGCATTACACCAATACATCATGGACACAGAGTTTGCTCGGGTGATGTATGAGTGCCCTGAGAATGTATTTCTCAAATGGTAGTATTGTTCAGGGACAAAGCCTAGCCAAAGAGTAGATTCAATTTAATTACAGTGCAAGTGGTAGTCCAATCCTAGGAGGCACTTTGGCATCTGAATGTTGGCACCCTAAAGAAATATAGGTTGCTGTTGCTTGTGCCATTGAGTTACATCCCAATGTGCCACATTTTTTAAGTCTTTTTTTTTTTTTTTGCAGGGAGGAAGGAGCACAGGTTCAACAGCTATTCTGGGCAAAAGGCAGGCAGTCTTTGGAAAAACACTTTTGGAAGAAAAAAGCCATGATGGATGCAAGATGAATAGCCAGTCATATCCTGTACACAAGAGAAACTAGTGTCTGTGCAAAAGGAACTGGTCCCTAGTCTTCAGGGTAAACAATCTGTGCAAATTCCTTCTTGTACACTTAGAACCGTAGAATCATAGAATCTTAGAGCTGGAAGGGACCCAAGGGTCATCTAGTCCAACCCCCTGCAATGCAGGAGGAAGCTCTTCTATAAGTAACCCATAACCTCTGGTGGTATGCTGCTGTTACTTTGGTTGTGTAAATAATAGCCTGCTCATTTCTGGTTCCTTACTCCACCAGTGAAGATAATTATGAGCTAACACAGGCATAGGCAAACTCAGCCCTCCAGATGTTTTGGGACTACAACTCCCATGATCCCTTGCTAACAGGACCAGTGGTCAGGGATGATGGGAATTGTAGTCCCAAAACATCTGGAGGGCGAGTTTGCCTATCCCTGAGCTAACATCGGTTTTAAAGTATATGGCCATAGCTAATACAGTAATGCATTTTGGCTGAAGAACTGCTGTTATTGACAGTGAGGTTATGAGTCCTTTAAAACTTGCTCTAGTAAACAGAACCAGTACTTCATTTGGGTGATCTAAATACCATGCCTTGATTTTAAGAGGGACAACCTGGAACAAAGGAACTTAAAGCCATTTATTTAGGACTGAATTGCAACAACGGCTTCCTGTTGCACTATGCTAAAGGTATTTACCTGGCAGTGATGGGAATGATTCTGTTGTATCACCGATTGCTACTCCAGTGAAGGGTCACTGTGCTTGTTTTGTATGCATTTATGCTCTAATTGTATTGTCCCTTTTCTCAGCAATGCTAAGATGGTTGTCTTATCACCAGATTCGTACGACTGCTGCAAAGGTTCATTTGGCATACATTTAAACGCTAATTTAATTGTCGCAGACTGTGCTCTTTCATTCCATTGCCACGTGACTCAGTCCTTTATGCACACACACCTGGGAGGTAACTGAGGGTCATACCCTGTGCATCTGATGAAATGGTCTCTAGTCCACAAAAGCCAATGCCATTATAAAATGTGTTAGTCTGTAAAATTTGTTGGTTTCGCTGCAACTGACATGGCGATCCCTGTGGAAATTTGCCTCGGCTTCCAGAACATTCTACTTCCAGGTAATTTACCCTGAAGTCATATCCCCCCCCCAAAAAAATAATAATTAAAAGCACCCATGACATGATGTCCTTTTTCATTGTGAATAATCATTTGGGTGAGTGAGTTGCAATGGCTCTCATTCTGGCTCCTGTTCTGTTCCTCTTCCCCCACCCTTCCTGGACATTGTTTTCTCTTTCTTTGCCAAGGGTTCTATAGGCAAAAATATGCAGTATCTCCTGGGGAAAGGAAGGAAGGAAGGAAGGAAGGAAGGAAGGAAGGAAGGAGAGAAAGAAAGACCTTCTTTGAAATCCTCTCCACCTTAAAAATGGGTCCTTCTGTATTTACTAGACATGTTCTAAATTGTTCTTTGTTTTATTAACCTATGCAATTTTACACCTTGTGCACTCTTTCTTGCCTCTGTGCATTAGTCTGGTCTTGGATATTTATTCTTAGTTAAATGGTAAGTGCCAGGTACACAAGGTTCTGTTCTCTGGCTTCTACCCCCTACCCCAACACAGCAGCACGTAGCTCACTAGTAGCGGCTGCTATAAGTCTTCTTGATGCACTGTATTGTTAAGCCATTAGACTTTGGTTTTGCAAGAGACGCACAGAAAACGCTTTCCCCTCCCCACCTCCTCCAGCTTTTGTGTGACCTGAAATGTAGGTTCCGCTAGCAGTGAACTCAATCACGGTTCTCTCCTAGGCTGCTATTAAACCTTGGCTCTAACCATCCAAGAAATTAATCTCCAATGCCCAACCTCTCCCGGTCCCTACTGTGCTCTGTAGCAGCTGCACACCACCTTTGATCCCCAACCGCATGACTTCATCCATAAACCTACGTATCTTGCTGTGACTATTGAACCTCTTCCTATCGTCTCTTGTAAGTAAGGGCCAGGAGAATCTTCAGGACTTTGGTGTTTTACATGTGCCTGCCTCAATCATAGTTTATTTTTATCCTGGGTTTTAAAAAAATAGAAAGGAAATCAAGGGCTTCTCTTTCCCCCAAGTCTTATCCTGGTCAGATTCTTTGATACAGATGATAACTTACACAATACAGTGAGGCAAAGAGGTGCCAAAAAGCTCCCATGTTTTTATTAGATATTGGATGCAAATTTCATTGGGATCCCTGATGGTGACTACGTGTCTTTTACTCCAAAACCTTCTTTTAGTTTAAAATGTTATGATCCCACTCTGGAAGTGAGTCTTTACATGGTTAGGCCTTCAGATAAAGGTATTATGGAACTAATAATAACAGCCATTTGTCTAGTGCGGTTAAACCCATTTCACACATCTCAGTAATCCTTAAAATGAGCCTGTAAGGAGTTATTTATTATTCCCATTTTACAGATGGACTATTGAGACGGAATGATCATGGCTTGCCAAATTCATGGTAGAGGCAAGATCAAAACCTGTGACATTTGGGTTCACAGCATGCTCCTAACCATGTCTACTCAGAGGTAAGTCCGATTGAATTCATGGGCTTGACAACCAGGTAAGTGGAGTTGGATTGCAGTTGCCTCTGCTTATTACTTTTACAGTTTTAGAAACCACTTCTCAGTTCTCAACAAGATTAAAAACAACAACATTAAAAAGCAAGATTCATCTAAAGAGCCCAACCAGTGGAAAGCTTGCGCAAGGACATTGGCTTGTACAAAAGGACTTTGCTCTTGTGCCCCCAAAATTGGCTCTGGGGAGGTTCTGGAGAACCCCCTGGACAGCACAAGTGGGGAGGAAAGAGGATTATTCCATATGTCAAACTGAAATGCTTGTACAGATGGAATATTCATATTGGTGTAATGGTGAATCCAACCCAATAAATCCATCCCTACAAATGTACAATTAATATTTCACAAAGGACTGGGTCACACCTCAGGGAAAGCCTTCTTAATCAAAAAGGAGTTTTTCATTTTCTTTTGCCATTATATGCTACAATTTGTCTGGTCCTTCGATGGGCAAATTGCCACTCCGGGGGGAAGAAAGGAGCTTCCAGAGAACAGCTGAATTCACAGTGAGCACATTTGCATGACCAGGTTTGGTTTTAAACAAGAATGCTAAGTTAAGAGATTTTTTGGGCACATGGCTTCACTTTTTTTGGCTGTTGTGTGATGTCGAGGTCCCACCTTGCAAAAATTCTCCTTTAATTACTTCTAGGGAAGCAAGATCCAGTTGGTAAACTCTGCAGCTCGAGGACAACTTTTCTTGCCAAGCATGCATTACCAAAGACTAATTGTTAGCATGGTGCACCTGCCTGCTCCCCTGGTAGGTAGAGCCAATGAGAGGGGGAAAAGTAATTTATTAATGATCAAGTCACAACTAGCAATGGAAACAATAGGAGTGTCTGCAGGCAGCACTGCTGGGGGCAGAGGTGCAGGTGCTTCGTGCCCTAAATGGGAGAGTCGGCATATTTTTTTACGAAGCTTGTTTGTAGCCCTTTCTCCATTTCCTTCTGCTCTGTGCATGCTCCCTTCCCTTCTCCAAATGTTTTGCCTTCACAACAGGCTCAGCATTCTTGCTTGGGGTGATAAAATAGCTGTCAACTTGAGCATGGAGGAAAAGCACAGAAGCGAAAACACACACACACACACACACACACACAAATACACCAAACAACAACAACAAAATAGCCATAAAGACCAAATGAATTGGAGCTGAATTTCCATTGAAACAAATGATTTGTATTGAGGCTACTAATGTGGTACGTACAGCTAAAAAGGAAAATGGTGAAAGAATGCTTATAGCTGTGGACACCTTTGAGGAGTTAAGGGCTACTCTCAGTCAGTGACTTATTCTTTTTGTGAGATTTGCTACAAAGTTCACTAGTATGGATGGTTAGAAAATACACAGATTTCTCAAAAGATTTCCCACTGCTCTGAGTGGCATGTATAATGCTGCCTTATACGCAACCAGGCTATTGGTCCATCTAACTTAGCATCTTCAACTCTGACTGGCATTGCCTGACACAAGCTGCTTGCTGGAGTGAGCATCAGAGCTTGGGTGCTTTTTAGGAGGCTAAAACAATTGAAACTATATGTGCAATGGAGAAAACATGGTGGGAAGATACAGCAGACCCCTTTTCCATCCTGGAGTTTGCTGGCAGTTAGAAAGGCGTGTAGGAGCTTTCAATGAAAAGAAAACAAAGATTTATACAAGTGTTCCAGCATTTTTCAATTCTGGGTCCCGTTATGTTGTTGGACACCAACTCCAATAATCTTTAGGCAGCATGGTCAATGACCAGGGATAATGGGAGTTGTAGTTGAGTGCTATATAGGGAGCCAATTTTGAAAAAGGCTGATGTATACTAACAATGTCTTTTATAAAAATATATTGTTATTGTTCTGTCATAGATAGGGCCCATCGGGTTTGACAGGTGGCAGAACAACCAGGACTGAGATTTCTTTATGGTTTATTTCACAAGCCTCCACTCTCACTTCTCATTTCTACTGCTTTCTTTTCATTCAGTGTTGAGGCCATATCCTCAGGCATAGCAAGGGGGCAGAGCCGGGAGGACTTTTCGAAATCTGAATTTGCTCCCTCAAAACAAACACAGTTTTCACCCTGAGAAAAGGAGATAATAAATATTTTGGAATAAGACAAGTTACACTAGTGGAATGCGCTCCCCAGGGAGACTTGCCAGACACCATCTTTGTTTAGTTTTAAGTGACAGGCAATACTCCCCCCCCCAATGCTTTGGCCTTCAACTCAAAGGTTATTGTGGCCTCTTTTAATCTATAGGGTTATATTTTGTGAGATAAGTGATTAGCGAAGACAATAATAATAAACAATAGTAGCTGTAATGCAGGGCAGCTCTCAGGCTTTTCCCCCAAGCTGTGATGATACCATCTGTTGGTGTGATGATGTCAGAAGTGATGATGTCATCTGCCAGATCATCCTTGTTCTGACAACTGAATGAGGCAGTAATGCAAACATTATTCTTTAAAATGATAGCACGGAGGAGGATTCTCATCCAAGGAAAGCTTCTGTTTGGTTTCTTTGCTCATTCTCTGACTTCTGCTGTACTAATTTGACCCTGCCTTTACTACAATTTGAAGGCCTTGTGATTACCTCATTCATTCGCCAAAGCAAGTGGAAGCCATCACTTACCGTGGTACTCTGGCAGATGATGTCATTGCTCCTGCACACACTCTCTCTCTCTCTCTCTCATCCTGGAGCTGCACTCCCTTGCTCCCCAGGTCCTGCTCCACCACACCATCACATCTAAAATAAATACAAATGCAAGTTTCTAGCTCTCCTGCATGCATATGAATAAGGAGTAATGCATGCACAATTATTGAAATTAATCCAGCATGCAAATTTTTCATTGTGTTTCATTTCTCTCTTAATAAACTTTATGCCAACCAAGCACGGCTGGCACATAGTTTATTAGGGGAGAACCTAAACACAGTGATAGATTCGTAAGCTACGTTAATTTCAGTGGGGCTTTTGCATGCATTAATTGATGAAGGATTGTAATGATCACCACATCACAGCAGGATTGTGATTTAGCAAGAGCAGGGTTGTTTTTTGTTTAATATTCTGAACATATTTGTACACTTCTAATTGGAGTAATCCAAACAGATCCAAGGCTGAAATTAATTAAGTCTTGGTTCTCACAAGGTAAAGGCATGAACAAGGGCCATGTAAGAGACAAAGAAGAAAAATGAGAGTTACGGAGGCATAGCTCTACTTGCGCACCGTCATCAAGCATGTGTAATAACTACCCATTTCTTTTTTAAGGAAAAAGCAGCTGTCAGGACTAATAGGAGCTGTAGTCCAGCAACATCTGGAGAGTCACAGGTTCCTCATACCTGACAAGTTAGCCTATGAGCTTTTCAAATGGGAAATTAAGCACGACTATGCATGAGAGCCCTTTGCCCTACATAATGAGGGTTAGGACAGGAAGGCTGTTGATCACTATGCATTCCCATGTTATGCTGCTTTATTTTATACAAAGAGGAGAGATGTAAACCAGGCTTCTGCGGAATGTCCCCACTAAGCTGAATTCTAAGGCAGCAATCGCATACAATAGCTTTATCCATTCAGCAGTTCAAATCCATATTTACCCTCCAGCCTCCTGATCAGCATTGGAATTTTCTAGCTTTTTCCTCTGGGTTAACGCTGCTGCAAAGCTGTCCATCAGGACCTCTGCTGGCTTCCGCAGAGCGCCATTAATAAAGTCAGTGAAATAGAGAAATGGGATCCTTCTAGAACTGCTCAGATTGTGGTGTGTGTGTTTTCACCCCTGTGAAGCCAGCTGGGGTGCCCGTGTTGTGGATAAATGCAGTGATGAATGGTGGGTCAAAGAAGGAGCAGGCTGATTTCGCTCCAAGCTTGACCCTGTCTCAGGTCTGACGTTTGAAATGACAGGTGCATTAAAAAGTTATTTGTTTGGAGTGGGGGAAGGGGAGTCATTTGCAGTGCTTGGTGGACGCGGCACCTGGCCTAGCAGGAAAAACTGGAAGAAAAGTGATCCAAGTTCTTTCCTGCGTACAGTGCAATCTTTTCTTTATGAAGTCAGCTACTGTGAAAATTCATGGACAGGTCAATGCACCAGGTCAGCGGCTTCTTCTCGCACATAGGGAGAATAAATGGGTTAGTTGTAGTCTCCTTATTGAGCTAGTTGTGTGGGAAGGAACTTTATAATAATCCATCACAAATAATCCAGCTATCTTATCATTGATTTCTCAAAGCACCACCCCCCCATTTAGATTTAAAATGGGCTCACGAAACCTTGGAACAGGTGTTCACATTTCGATATCTGATTGCACCTTGCAATCTTGAAGTCTCCGTTTGCCATCTGTAAAGTGGAGATAATAGCAACCTGTCTGTCAGGGTTGTTGTAAATCATCCAAAGCACAGAGGTGTGCGGAACATTTTGTGGAGAGAGTGGGCTACGTCTTTCCAGGGGAAGGAAAACTCCATTCCTCCCATCTCAGCAGTGTGGTGTAGTGGTTAAGAGCGGTAGACTTGCAATCTGGTGAACTGGGTTCACGTCTCCGCTCCTCCACATGCAGCTGCTGGGTGACCTTGGGCCAGTCACACTTCTCTGAAGTCTCTCAGCCTCACTCACCTCACAGAGTGTTGGTTGTGTGGGAGGAAGGGAATAGGAGATTGTTAGCCGCTTTGAGACTCCTTAGGGTAGTGATAAAGTGGGGTATCAAATACAAACTCCTCCTCCTCCTCCTCCTTCAGCATCCTCAATTTTGACTTTGCACACAATGCCTTAGCACTCTTGCACCTCCAAGAAGATATGGGTGAATTTGTCAGTTTGGGTGTCTCTCAGTTCCTTATTTTCCCCACTGAAATTTCAATTATCTACATTTACATACCATTTTATGGATTTTTTTAAAAAAAAGTCATTATGAAGAGTCATCAACATTTTTGTGTAAATGTCTCCTCATGTACACAATTTTGTGTGCATTTTTGCCTCATTTACAAATTTTTGCAAAGCAATTTCCCATAGTACAATGCATTTTAAAATGTTCTTTTCGCTAATATATGCATTTCAATGCAAAATGTACACTAAAAAGGTAAAGGTAAAGGTACCTACGGGCCAGTCGTGTCCGACTCTAGGGTTGTGCGCCCATCTCGCTCAAGAGGCCGGGGGCCAGCGCTGTCCGGAGGACACTTCCGGGTCACGTAGCCAGCATGACGAAGCTGCTCTGGCGAGCCTGCACCAGCGCAGCACACGGAAACGCCGTTTACCTTCCCGCTAGGTAAGCGGTCCCTATTTATCTACTTGCACTTGGGGGTGCTTTTGAACTGCTAGGTGGGCAGGCGCTGGGACCAAAAGATATATATACCTAGTATATGCATTTTTGTACACGTTGTTTAGCAGGAGGACTGCATTGCAAAATTCAGAGAATTGTGAACTTTGATGGGCTCCTGCGATTTGGTTCACACATTGTTTCAGAAAATTAAAATTGTGCAGGTTCACCTTTAATTGTGAACTAAATTGAATTTCTTTCCCCCTTCTGTACATCAAATTCACCTACGCCAGCTTCTCACTATGTTAGAGGACAATAAAAGCAAGATTGGATGCAAAACAGTGTATGGTTTATGATGTTAGTGGATCAGTCCTTTGTTAGGTAAATTGGGTGGCGCTGTGGGTTAAACCACAGAGCCTAGGCTTGCCGATCAGAAGGTTCGCGGTTTCGAATCCCCGTGACAGGGTGAGCTCCCGTTGCTCGGTCCCTGCTCCTGCCAACCTAGCAGTTCGAAAGCACGTCAAAGTGCAAGTAGATAAATAGGGACCGCTCTGG